CAATCAGATTACAGATATTCCCACTATAGATTTTACTACTTGGTCGGGCTGAACTTTCAGAGCCCGACTAGATGTTGCGAAACAGCGCATTTGAGTTTGCTCGGTTGCTATCAACCAATCAGATTGCAGATAATCCCACTATAGATTTTACTACTTGGTCGGGCTGAATTTTCAGAGCCCGACTAAACTGCGTAATGCCTGGCACTAGAAATGCACTAGTCATTGTTGCTAAGTAACGTTTAAAAACATGACAATTTTGCTAATAACGACGCAATTTGACAAATATTACACTAATAGACTGTGGATTATTCCCCAAAGAGTCGCAGAATTTAAAATTTTCGCAAATCCAATTTTAAAGAAAACAAATTTTTCATTTTGGGAAAATATTTGGTCGGGCTGGGCCCGACCAGCCAGACCGCTAGCTACGCCACTGTTTGTATTGAATGGCTTTTTTAAAAGCACTTTGCTGGGCTTTAATATTTATAATGATAAATCATCTTTTACTTTAAAAGTTTTGTGCTTTTTGTTTTTCATGGTTCAAAGCAGGTTGCGTAGCCAACTCATGTAATTATTGCAAGGTGAGCGATATTTATGTAGTCAAGCTTTATACAGGATTAAGCTCCTTTGAAATCCATTGTTTTCTGCCGATTATTACTTGCATAATTCTATGAACATCGCCATTACACCAATTATATCGATATTTTACTATATGCGAATTATAAGCTGACCAAACTTAATGCGAGTAGTAATTTGGGAAACACCTGAATCATATTTTTTTTACACTAAAGCAAACATAAAATAGTAAGTAAAATCCTTCCATTTCCTCCTTGCAAACGAGACAAGTCTACTCAAAGCAGAGAACCTTACGCTACAAGTTCCGGGCTTGTGACCGGTATAGCAGAGTTAAAAGGTGAAAGGACAATTACTTACTTTAATTCCTCAATCTCAAACTTCTATTGCTTCTCCTCTTCGGACTTCATTCAAACAAACTAAAACTACTAACACCAGTTGAGAAAACGCTATCTTATAGGGAAGCGAGATAAATAATGTGATGCCATCATCACACCGCACTAAAGAACCAGAGTAATCTAACTACATTTTAAACATTCAGAAGTGTAAAGCTTTACCAAAGGAGCTTCTGTATTCCTCAATTTGCATTCTAAGTACATGAGCTTCCTGCAGCGACTACATAGATCTCATAGATACACTAGATCTCATAATCTACTAGATAGTGCAACGGCTAACATTTAATAAGCAGTGGTTGAAGCTGGGCAAATTTAGTTCCGGAGCCCCAAAAGAGTGAGAATCAATATGGCGTTGTATTAGGAAATATCTGGTCAAAGCTGATATCTTGCAATTACTTGCAAGTCACGATGGTTACATAAACTGGTTTACTCTATTAATGAAAAAAATCAATGTGACTATAGTTTTTTAAGAAAAAAAAATAGCAGGATAAGCCAATACATCGCCGTAAATTTGATTTCAAGAGTAGCTCGATTTGAAAGTATCAGCATCGACGAAGGCTTGAGATACTGGGATTTGCACATCTAAATATCATATCACAGCAAAATCTGCCACAAAATGCTCATTCGAACGTTGTGGAATTATCTTCCGATATTTATTGTTAAGTAAAACGAGTTGGAGATTACAGTTTGAAAGATTTTTCACGATTTATATAAAGTATATTGTTCACTGTACATAATTGAATATTGCACTGGATTATTGTACCTGAAATGCATTTTTGTGGTGTTTCTGGTCGGCAAACGAATATAGCTATGTCGAGAGGAAGAGATGTGCGCCACAAGCAAAGAATTCAGAGTACGCCAGTACGCCAACAGCGACGTTTGTGCGCCAGTACGGCAAGGTTTTCATAACTCTACGTCGAATATATTCCGATTTGACTGCACGGAATGCACCCTGGCTGCTGATGCTTTCAAATCGAGCTACACTTGAAATCAATTTTACGGCGATGTATTGGCGTATTCTGTAATATTTTTCTTAAGAATTATGGTCACAATGATTTATTTCATAAATAGTGCAAAAAAAAAGTCATGCAACCTTCGCGATTCGCTAATAATTGCGAGATATTAACTTGGACCACATATTTTCTAATACAACGCCATATTGATTCTCACAACTTTGGGGCTCCGGTAGTAAATTTGCCAGGCTTCAACTTGTATGTCAGTTGCACTATCTAGTGTATTATGAGATTTGTGATTAAGACGCGTTCACGCGCTTTTACTGTGAAGGACAGATTAACACGATGAATACAGCGTAAGGCTTTCTGCTTTTGAGCATACTTGTCTCGTTTGCAAGGAGGAGGAGTGGAAGGATTTTACTTACTATTTTATAATTGCTTTAGTGTGAGAAAAACATGATTTAGGTGTTTCGCAAATTAATACTCGCATTAAGTTTAGTCAGCTTAATAATCTCTTATAGTTTCTGTAATCGCGTGTGTATACTTAATTAATCGATATTTCACTGCTCAAGACTTCAATTGTAGCCTCAATGTAAAATTAAAATACAATTTTATTTTCATTTCAACGATATTGGTACTTCTACTACGTTATTAGCTATGGTCGTGTCAGATTTGTACGAGAGAGTATATGCACGCGCAAGTTAGCCAGTTGTGTACGCCTTGTGGCAAGCAAAGCTACGGAAAAATTTAGGAAGGATAATTGTTCATTGTAATCCTTTCTATCGATAATACAAATCTTCACGGGATCTTCTAGAAACATGCTGCATCCTAAACACCTAGCAGTTGTCAGGTTTTTGTCACATCCATCAAATGTCACAGTTTGAACACGAAGACTTGCATTAGATAGTAAGTTTATTGCTTCTTTGATTATCTGTGCCTGCATTTGACCAGTTTTGAATGAAACCAAGGTTTTTTTAATCCAACTGCCATGATAACAAAGGCATTAATCGCAATACTATCATCTACGTAGCGAAACCAAAAGGGTAGTGCATATTTGTAAGTCGTGAGCGCCCGTTCCACTATAGCTTGCATTACAATTTCAGCAACTACAACAGAAACGGTTGAGCCCATTGCTGTCCTATGTAATTGTTTGTAGTGTGTACCTTTGTACTGGAAGTAAGTCCAGGTGAGGCAGAGCTCCAGTAGCTCCATAATGTTTTCAATCGGTAATGGAAATACGTCCGTGGTGTTTGCAATGAGGGTTTTTGTAGAAGTAAGGGCCAGATTAAGTGGAATACTGGTGAACAGTGATTTCACATCAAAAGACAGTAGTATATAGTTGTCTGGTATTTGTATAGTGCACAGTTTTTTAATGAAAGTTTCAGTGGATTGTAGCTTGTGTTTTGATTTGTTTGTAAGTGGTTGCAGTATGTCAGTCAAGTACTTTGAAAGTTTGTAAGTAGGTGAAACACAGAATGATACAATTGGTCGCATGGGTATTTGTGGTTTGTGAAGTTTTGGTAGTCCGTATAGTCTGGGGGGTCGTGGTACTGAACATCTGTGTCGATAGTAAATACGTTCAGTTATAATGTTAGATTTTCTCATAGAGAAGATCTTGCTGTTAAGTTTGCGTACTAGTGATGGTGTTGGGTCTCGTTTGAGTTGTTCGTACGTTTGTCTGTCGTTAACAAGGGTGTCCATTTTGTTAAAGTAATCATTCCTGTCCATAACCACAGTCACGCGTCCTTTCTCTGCCGGTAAAATGACGATGTTGTTGTCGTGTTTTAGTCGTTTGAGTGCTTGTCGTTTGTCCTTTGTCAATTTGTTGTCACGTATAGAGGACGATTGTAAAGTGGAGGCTATCCTGCTTCTGATCTCGTCTTTGGTTGTCTCTGACAAGTCTCTTTGATACGCTTGGACAGCCTCGACACTTGATACTATCGTCTCAGTCGGGATTCGACTAAGTGTTATGGAATGTTTTAGTCCCTAAGATAGTAGTCGCGTTTTAGTTTCGTCTAATGAGCGGGAAGAAATATTTCTCACCCAGTTATCGGCATGTTTATGTCTTGTACGTGTTTTAGTTTGTTTTAAACGTTCAAGTTTTTGTTGTTGTTTGATTTGGAGTTGTGTCTCTGTCTTATTTGCTCGTTTCTCTGCAATAGTTTGTATCGTAGAAAGTAAAGTATCACTTACTGTCGTTGGTATGAGTTCCTTCAGTTTGTTCAGTCTTTGTTCTTGTTTTTGATTTAATAGTTGATTCGTCTGTAACAGTCGTTAATTCATGCTCGTATCAGTCGTCTGCTGGTGGATTTGACAATCTGAATAGCCTCTTGTGTGTTCAACTGGGACTTAATTCTAAGTCCTGCCGGAATGAGACCAAAATCCTTGCAGCGGTGGTTGAACCAGAGTTGTTGGCGTATGCGTCTGACGTTGCTTACAAAACGTATGTAGTCGGTAGCAAGTTGTTCGCTCTGTAGTCGAAATGATCGTAATAAAGTAAATGGTTTGAACCCGGGAGTATCGTTACATGTTTGTAAATGTCGATCGTCCAGGTTGGTATAGTCCCGAGAAGGACTGTTTTTGTTGTTGTTGACTGACGTTTCGACAACCTTAGCCAGGGGCGGATCTAGGCCATGGCGAAAGTGGCTTGAGCCACGGTCAGAATTCTGCCACTTAAGTTTTTCCAGGGTTGACTTTTTCATGATTAAAAATTTTGCTCAAATACAGCAAAATTCGATCAAAAGCAAAAATTGAATGAATTTTGTAATTTTTTGTCAAAAATTTGTGTTAACAGAACAAAAACTTCAAATGAAACGTCTTGTTAAAATAGTATTATCATCCAGTTAAACTCTGAACTGTAAAATCACCGAAAGCGTCTCGAATCTTGCCGAATACGCCATGAATATGCTCGGAATATGTTCGTAAATTCGAGCCTGCAATCTCAGAATGAAGAGCCACGGTCAGCGTTCAAAAAATTTCGCAATAGTTGCTAAATATAGTAACCTTCAGCCAGGGTGCAGCGTTGCATGCCAATCACAGGGAACGTTTTGGTCATGTGCGCCATGGTGAGCCACGGTGAATGTATTTTGATTGCGCAATAAATACAAGTCATATGCAATAGCTCGATTCTTGTCGACTTGAAAAAACGCTACTTCTAGTTCTACTCAGCGATTAGGATCAATGGAAACATCTAAAAAGATCGATGTTCTTGAAAAGCTCGTCCAAACCTTTCAGCAAGAGAACGCTTGCGAAATTATTTCTGGTGAATTGTCTAACTTGAGACAACACTGTGGTAAAATAATCAACGAGGAAAGGCTTCGTCGTATAAATTCTACTGGCGACATTATGCTACGAACTTGTTCATTTTCAAAACTGCTGTTCCCTGAAAGCCAAATTGAAAGATCAGGACCCAATGTCCCTGTTAGGTAAGAATTTACATGTATTGGGGTATTAATTTATATTTTTATTTACGTTTGACATCTTGGCCTGAAATATATGATCAATCCGTTAATTTTCAGCTATTCATACTTAGTGTATCAAGTAAAATATATGTCTAAAGCTGTCATTATTTTGCATACTCAGTCTGTCTAATGTACGGCCTAAATAATTTTAATTGTTACTGTCTGTTAAAAAAAAATGTTTTACTTCAATATTAGTCAAAGCTAGTCCTTTTTAAAATTTAACCCAATCAATAATGTATTATCCTTGTATTCCTGGCATTTTATGTTATCCCCTGGTTAAAGAAACTAACATATCATTTTGAATAACTGTTACTTTCTTTCGCGATTTATATCGAATATTGATGCTATAGTAGATGGAATAAATAAGTCGTCTGAATCCTGTTCGACATGCCTAGACTAGTTCCAAATCTTAGACTACCTGCTTTGACTTTGACTTTGACTCTATCATGATGTTACCAAATTCTTAGACTACCTCCAAAATCTTAGACTAAATTCAAAATCTTAGACTACCTGCTTAGATTCAAAATCTTAGACTACCTGCTTTGACTGTGACTTTGACTCTATCATGATGTTACCAAATTAACACAAAGAGAAAATAACTTTCTCAATTTCAATATTAGTCTATCTTTAACAGTATTGGTTACCCTTATTTATTCTAATGTCAGAGTCAGTCTAGCAGATTTGTTTCCAGGTATAACTTGGTATAACAAAGCAGCCATTGATACTTAAATACTAATTTTTCTTTTAGTACTTTAGCCAATGGGAATTGTCTGTTCAATGCATGTTCTATTGCATTAGTTGGGAATGAGACTCTCTCTATTTACTTGAGATTCCTAACTAGTGTTGAAATGTTTGAGAATGCAAAATACTATTCTACCCATCCTCTCATCGAGTCCCAGCATAAAAATGGTGCATTCACGTCACTTAAAAATGCCTTTGCCATGTGTATATCCGATGCAACTCTAACCTCTTTAGAAAATGCGAATGAAATTGCAGCAGTTTCACAAGAAGCAGAGGAAACAGCAAATAATTACACCTTTTTACCCTTGATGTGTATGTTTGCTTTGTCCACTGTAATCCAGTGTGCTATTCAGTCATACTACCCAATTACTAATGATGCTGAAGTGAAAGGAAATTGGGATTTGTTGGCTAAAATGTTCAATTGTACATTATAATCAAGAGATTTTGTTGATGGGAGTGCAATTGACTATGTCCATATCTTTCGTTGTGCTGCGATGCCACCTTCTTATTTGGTAGATCAAAAAATCCCATCCACCAAAAATCATTTTGTTACTTTGTTTTTAGAGGACCACCTTTGAACATTGCTTTTATTAATCTTGCCATCTTTACCATGGTTGGGTAAACATCTTTGCTGCTGTTGGAAGAAGATCACCTTTGAACATTGCTTTTATTAATCTTGCCATCTTTGCGGTTGTTGGATAAACATCTTTGTTGCTGTTGGAAGAAGATCACCCTTGAACATTCCTTTTATTAATCTTGCCAACTTTACGATTATTGGATAAACATCTTTGCTGCTGTTGGAAGAAGACTGCCTTTGAACTTTGCTTTTATTAATCTTGCAATCTTTACGATTGTTGGATAAACATCTTTGCTATTGTTGGAAGAAGACCACCTTTGAACATTGCATTTATTAGTCTTGCCATCTTTATGGCTGTTACAAAAGGCATCCTTGCTGCTTTTCGAAAAAGACCATTTGATGGGGCAACAAAGATGGGAAATTATTTTTTTGTAGTGAACTGTCTTTTGGTTATTCACTGCAAAAATAACATGCTTAATCTTTCTCTCACTCCTGCGGCAACAATCCTGTGATTACAGAAAGGTACGGAAACTGCGTTGATTTTACATCAGACACCACAAGGTAAGTAAAATTTTTATTCTTCTATCCGAACAGAGTTAAAAAAATGGCGATATTAGAAATTTTTTTAGATGAGGTTATAACGAAAGTATTGTTATATTCTACATTAAAAATGCCGGAATTCGCTTTTCCAAGAGTCTAGATTTCAAAATTTTCTGGGGGAGCATGCCCCCAGACCCCCCTAGCGTTGGCTCGCGCCGAAGGCGCTCGCTACGTCACAGGGCCACGGTCAGCCCAGAAGCTGGATCCGCCCCTGTTAGCGGTAGTCATCTTCAGAGTGAAATGAGGAATAAAAGTCAGGTTAGCCGTATTTGTTATCTGGTTCTTACGTCGTTGTATTGTGGGTACAGGAAATGTGTATTGTCATTGTTAATTTGTGTGAAGTGAAATATTTTATTTTTAGTTGTGATGTGTGTTTAGATGTGATGTTTTTAGTTGCAATGTGTGGGTGTTAATTGTGTTTGTCATTGTGAATTAGTGTGAAGTGTAATGTTTTAGTTAATCGTTTGTTTGTATTGTGAATAAGTCGTTTGTAAGGTGCCGGTAATTGCAGTAATCTGTTCAGGGGGTTTGTTCCAAGTTGGTATACCAACTTTCTAATGTAAGCCGTTGTCTATAGTCAGTACTGTATGTAATGTATTTTGCCGAGTCCCAGTCAATGTTGTGCTTTGTTATTCGGTGATGTGTTATTTTCCTTGCGTTTTACAGTTGCTTGATAGATGACGAATGTTTGTAGGCAGTTTCTGTTAAGTGAGCAGTTTTGTTTTATTCGGCAGTTGCATGTTTTTGTATGTGTCTTTTTGTTCGTGGTGTTATCGTTAGTTTTGTCTGGGTAAACTTTAGGAAGTCTGGCACTCTTCGTCAACGAATTTATCATTCTCCAGGGCCAAACTATGTTTGGCATGTGGATGGCTAAGATTAACTCAAACCATACGGCTTTCCTGTGCATGGATGTATTGACGGATATAGTGGTAAGATACTGTGGTTGAAAGTATGCAGAACCAATAATGATCCTGCAGTAACAGGAAAGCATTTCTTAGACACTGTCACTAAGTATCAGGGTTGCCCAACTCTATTACGAACAGATAACGGCACTGAAAACGTTATCATGTCTGCAATGCAGGCATATTTAAGAAGTATGTGTGAAGACGAATTGTCTGGTGTTAAGCCACATGGATGTGGCTCGTCACCAGCAAATCAGGGCATTGAGTCCTGGTGGTCATTCTTAAGAATGCACAGGAAAGTAACTGGTGGATGAATTTTTTTAAAGATCTTGTTGAGACTGGTGTCTTGGACACATCTTCTGAGATGCTTGTGGTAGAGTTTCTCTGATCTTTTGCAAGATTTCAACTCTGTTATGCGACACTCAAACTCTCACTATATACGAAAGTTAAGATTTGACACAGTTGAAGGACGGCCAGATGAACCATTTTTTCTGCCCGAGTGTACACAGGCATTTGATCACCTCCAGCCAGTTTCTGATGAGCAATTTCAAGAAATGATTCAATATTGTAATGAATATGAAGAAGATAGTATTATTCAGGAATACTTCCAAACTATTGGAGAACAATTAGGTTTATTAAAACCAGAAAACTGGAGGCAGGCATGACTAGATATCATAGCATGTGCAAGATTGCTCAGGGACAAGTTTTCAGTTAAAACTACATAAAAATGCTCAAGGTTTATTGAGTTAACAAATTTTGCAATAACTGTAAAAAGTGTAATATAGACAACAAGCATGACTTTGCTCATAATGTGAACACAATTACTTGCTTAATCAATGTTGAATGTTTTACTAATCACATACCGTAAAGTAATATTAAAGTAATATTTCAGTTGCACCAATTTTATTATAGTTTTGAAAAAATGGCTCCATTCATCAATGCAGTGAAGAGATAGGGCAAGAGCTTGCCCTTCTGTGTGTGTTCATTTACATAAATATTAAGGGTGTTAGAGCATGTTTGTGCACTTGGAATCATTTTCTTGTCATCATGAACAAAAACAATTGAAGGTTTTGGTTCAAAGCCAGTTGAAGGGACATTTGCTGCACCAGATGTAAACATTAACATGTAGCTTGGTGTTACCGATGGAATATACTTTTTTTCTTCTTCAGTCAGCTCAATTTCTTTGTCAGCCAATTCTTGCATTGAGAAACAAAAAGAGAAACAATTCTTTCTTGACTAAAACCTTCAGTGTCATACAAAAACACATCATGGAGTGAACAAGTAATTAACTTATTAGATAATGGCAGTGGTTCATGTGTCAAAATAGATTAGGAAAAACAGAATATATATATATATTACTGAAGCATGAGAATTATGGCAGTATTAAAATAAGGCAAAACATGTTTTAACCCTCTGCGGCCTTTAGAAATGAAATAAATTTTGCCATCACTATTTCCTCTGATTGTCTCCTTATATTTGCAGTTGGTGCTAAATTTGGTTTCAAGATTTTAAGCAGCTTTTTTACATCCAGTTTATCATCTGGGTCAAACATGAAAATGTGTTGTGCCATGCCTTTATGTGCTCTAAGTAGTTGCAACACCTACACAAAAAAAATTTACCACATTCTAGCAAACTAGTCTATAGAAAAAAGGATTTGAAATTGAATACAGAGCTAGATATTGGTGACTTTTATCTTAGATGATAAACTACTCATTACTCAGCACTGACATTGTAATATTTCAACCCATGAAGTAGCTGATCAAGCATTGGCTTGCATTTGATCACAACAAAGTATTCTATGACTTCTTTCACAAAATGGTCTTTATTCTCTAGTTTAAAAGATGATGGTAGACCATCAATTTCAACACGCCAGTCTGAACATTCTGCAAAGGCATTGTTTACATCTTGTTGGGTGTTTGCTTCTTGCAACTGAAAATATATAAAACAGGCATAAAAATTTTTCCCATAGCAAATTCACTATTTAAATATTTAGGAAATGCAGGGCTTAACATTTTCCGTAAAACATGGCAAACATCAGGTAAAAAAGTGAGAAAACATTTTAGCAGTGTTGGGAAAATTAGCTTGAAAAGAAAAAGAGTTGCAAGAAAGAAGTCAAGATAAAAGACCACAAAAATATAAAAAGTTTGCAGTGCTGAAATGAATACTTCGAACTATGATTTTTAAATATGATACAATTTACCTTTTTAAGAGAATTCCTTACAGTTATCTTGCCTCTGACGCCTCTAGGCATAAAATGACGATCATAATTTATAAGTTTGCTCTCGGGTGTTTTGGAGTAGGTCTCAAGCAAGGCCGCCAAATCACCGAACTTCTGCCCTGACCCCGGTACCGCAAGAGCATGCGGCTTGATCTCCTGCAGCTCCTGCCTCACTAGGTGAAACTGGGGATGGCCGAAGTCGACTACGGCGTTAACGACCCCCTCAAAGGGATACCTGCTGAGAAACTGCTGGTTTACGTTGTTCACAAGCACGCGATAGTCAACCACGATGGCAAGACGCATATCCTGATCTGCCTGAGGCTCCCTAAGATTTGCTTCAAACCCTTGAGGGTATTCCGTAAACAATTGTACCAGCTGCGCACGCGGAATGAAATAGTTGCTTTTGAGAAAGGCCTCGGGAATCTTCTGGCCAGCCAGAAAGCGGCCAAATACGAGCAGCAGGAAGCGATCGAACTCCCCCTCTTTTCGAGTCCGGAGAGAGGGCGCGGTTGTAGTGACCGCCGGGAGTTGGTTTTTCAAACGGACATCAGCAACGCTGTCGCGAGCTTGGCCTGTATCTTCAGAATAGTTCAGCAACCTGGATTTGACCGCGCTCAGTACCGACGTTTCATTGAGAAGCGCAGGGTAGCCCTTGAACAAGGCATATAGCTCTTTTACGCTTGGGTGTTTTTTTAGCTCCAGCAAACTCAACTTAGCAAGGGAATGGTTTGGTATATACTGCAATGTTTTGCACAAGAAAGAGATGAAATCCTGGTGGCGATTTAGTGCTCCGGCGCCCTTTCCACGGACCCTTTCGGGGAGATAACCCAATACCTCCATAAAGGAATTAGCGAGTTTGATAATGTGCTCGGGTACTGGAGGACCTCCAAAAGCCGCGCCTTGGGGATGAGGAAGGCCGACAGATAACCATCCGCCACCCGCTCAAGTCGCTGTGGAAGACAATTGACGATCAGGACTCGAATATATTCCATTCTCTTCAAACATATGCTTAAATATCTGGTGATATCCCTCTTGAACTTCTTTCTCGAATTCTTGTTCAGATTTTTCTGGTAATGACAGAGAAAGCAAAGCTTTCAATGAAAGTCCACCGCAATAGATTTTTCGTCGCAATAATAGGGAATGGCTGATTGGTGCAATCCATAGCGAGGATCAGGCGCTCGCTGCGGGTCAAGAGTTCCTCGTACAGTTTGAAGATGAGAGCCGGTTTATTGCCCGTGCCGCCGAAGAGCGTATTAAGAAACCACTTCACATTCGACTTATCCATGAATCGGAAGAGATAGAGAAAGTTTGTGTTAACCTTTATGTCCTTTATGTTGTCGAAGCTCTGGGAGAGGAAGAAGCGTTCAAGTTCAGATGA